TTTTATATTCTCTTTTTAACGATTATTTCTTCGCGTTAAAATATATTTATTATTTATTTATTTATTGTTATTGTTATATACAGAAAAAATAAACTTTCTATTGTATAAAAATCTGCATGGCGAATATGAATTTAATTCTCATGTTTATGAATAACGATAATATAAAATACCCCAGTTAAATTAAATATCTATATTTTACAGGGGCACCCGTGACAGAGGTCTGGACAGTAAGTCCTCCGGACAATCATATTATCATATCGATAAATCACGTGCATGTATGCAAGAGATCTTTTAGCTTGAGGTTAAATTGTGAATTGCTTCGTTAAAAAGCCCATTTAACCTATTTAATTCATTATCAAGTATTTCGATTTCACTGTCCAACCTACTCACTTCATTAATATTCACTTCGATGAGAAAATCTTCCCTTTCATCTTTCAACGTACAGTATTTACTTCATTAATAAGCGTTTCCATTTGATTTTTTAAAGTAAGCAATCCGTAGATTTTATGGTAAAGTTCTCTCTTTTCTTCATTTAACCGATTGTTTTCTTCATGGAACCTTTTTATGCATGAAGCAGCTTACGTAATATAAATCGATAAATGGTAAATTAAACATTAAGGTGAAAATCATGATCACAATCATTCAATATACTGTATATTGTACGTACAAAAAGCTATAAGTCAGCTATGAACACAAAAAGAAGTTCGAACTGGACTAAAAATTCCATTGCATATAGTGAATTATAAGATTTCATAAAATTTCAAGCTACTCTTATCATGTGCATATTGATTGGTTGCTCAGACAAGAATTCATTACACGAGGTAAGCATAATCAGCAAACCAAGCAAACATGATTGATTGTAACCGAATGAAACAAATGTTGGATATTACATTACCATTTACTAGTGATTCAGCCTTGGACGCATTGTTACTTGCATATGGTGTGAACGCGAGAGCATCATTGAGTGCCTTGTAATTAGAATTTAGTTTGTCACGTCCTTTCTGCGAAGAAACTCTGGCACGTTCTTTACGAACGCGTTCACTGTAGTTATTAATGAATGAATAATCGTATTGATTATTATTAAAATATTACTATAAATGATTAATTATCTCAATGATATAATATTCTTATATCAAATGAAGTGAAAATTTCCATAAAACTCGTACAAAAATAATCAATTGGTTCATATGGATATGTATTTAATCCGCCGGTTCTATATACAATTTTCTTCAAAAACTAATCAAAAAATTTATAATAAATAAGTTATTGAAGATTTGCAAGAACCAATTGATTAATTTGCATAGCTAAGATCCGGGGCTGATGATTTTCTGTATTTCACCGGCGTAGAAAATAAACGAACTAAAATATGTGCGCCTTATGTCAAGAAGATTCCGGGCTGAAGATCGCTTTCGACCTACTTTCGACCCCTAGAATTATTTGTCGGAACCAATAAAATTCTAGAGTCTTGCGTAACACAGCAAACGTAAAAAAAATAAAAAATCAAGAGAAATAATACAAATAATCAAAAAATATTATTAATCATGTAATTAATCACTTATT